CACCCACCCACACACCCACCCACACCCACCCACACACACCCACACCCACCCACACACACCCACACACACACACACACACACGCGCGCACACTTGCTTGCTTCAGGGTTTTGGTTTGCCAGTCATAGTCCATACTTCTTGTACTTGAAGGACTTCCGGCAGCCATGTATGAAGTCGGGAAGTATTACTTAGTACTACATGCATCTCGTTTTGACCCTCCAGCTATCCACACACGGATGAGGCGCGACCAAGGAATACACTTTTTTTTTAAATGTTTTCCGGGGCCAGGAGCGAGACTGATGCTATACATGACCCTCGTAAAGTGCAGCTTAGCTGGGACACGGTTGAAGCTTGGCATCAACCGAGGCGCGCACGTACTCTCCACTTATCCGGCTTGCCGGCAAAGCTCACCCTGTCCTGGCGCATGCCTTGCAGCGCGAATGAGTTCAGCAAATGTTACGGTTCGGAGATTCTGATTCAGGGTCTGCCGGGCATGCCGACACAGTGTCTCGGACATGCTGCAGGCTCGGCGAAATGCGTTCGGCAGCAGTGGAACCCAACGGTCACAGCTACCTGGCTGTCTTTGACGTGTACAAGGCCGCACGCGATGTGGAGGGCGCGAGGCGAGCTTGGCAGGACATGCGTGCAGCTGGGGTGCAACCTGTCTACCCTGCCGTCTCTACTATCATGTCCACGGTGGCAAAAACTGGCGACATTTCAGCTGCGGAGGCTGGGGCGAAAAAGCTCTTGGTATGCTCTACACAGTGACCCAAAGAGTCAAGGTTTGAACTGCGAAGCATAACCCAGCTGGTTTTAATTTCGATGGTTTTGTGGAGGTGCCTCCTTGTGTTGTGTGTGTTCGCTCAGGGTTCAAATATGTTTATCCTACTTGCAGGGCACATATTAGTTGCATGACGTCGTGTGTGCAAGCGAGATCTGCATGGAGTGCCCATGAATGATGTGCAGGCACTCCTTCAAGAAGCTAGAAATCTTGGTCTGAATGCGACCACTGTCAGCTACAACTGTATTCTGGATGCTTGTCACATTGCAGGCGGCTGGGCCGTGCTGTTTGTCCAGTGGCTTGTTGACCCTGCACGCCAAGCCTAAAAGCAAGCCGTAAGATAAAGTAGATTATCGTAGTCGGCTCTAAGGGAGGTTCAGTTCTACCGAGGGAGTCTTCAAGCGCATCCTTTGATCCACTCGCGAGGGTTCATGCTCGATGCGAGGTGATGCAGATGCAGCATTTCGCCGCTCAGCCTAATGTTGAGCAGCCTGTGCTGTGGAAATCCGGGGCTCGGGTGACTCGAACATCATATTTCCTCGCGGCATCTCGCGGCTTGTGGGATGTTGCGTGGCTCCCCGTATGTTGTTAATTGGAGTGAGAAGGTTTCCAGCAATGGTGCACGGGCTCAGCAAACAGCAGGCATTCTGGCAGAGATGAGAGCAGCCGGCTTAGTCCCGGATGTCATTTCCTACAACTGCGCCCTGGGATCTCTGGCCACCGCCGGGCGGCCCGCTGCGGACCGGGCGAGGAGCCCAGAAGTCTGTTCGGTCGGTGCAGCAGGCGAAGCCTTCCGTGAGACTGAGATCTTGAGATTTTGAGGCCCGGCTGCTTGAGGAGATGAGACGGGATGGTGTCAGCCAGAACTCTTTGTTCCTGGAGCGCCACGTCTGCTACGCTCTGGGCATGCAGCTCGATCAGAGCAAGGTCTCCGGCGCCGAAGAGCTGCGGGCACAGTTTCAGGAGCTTCCTGCAGAGGCCAGGCTGGCAAAGAGGCTGCGGCCTGCGGGGACCATCGGGGGACCCCTGCTGTGCCCTGCCGTGCTCTGCTGTGCTGGAGTTGTTTGCACACGCCTGCCGCCCTTCGGAGGCACGTCGAGAAGCCCTAGAAGCAATTCGTGACAGCACCGAATCGACGAAACTCGTGCGTGCCCTGCGTTTGGACAGCAACCAGCAATATCGGACTTGGAAGCCTGCCAGCTTTGACCCTTCCTAGGCGCAGCATTCTGGAGTCTCTCGAGGAATCTCAGGACGAAGCAGTACAGTCGAATCAGCAGACTCAGAAGACAGAGAGCGGCGATTGGGTGAAAGTGCTGGCAAAGGATGAGGCCGCATGCTCAGTATGCCGCATGCAGCTGTCTATGCATCTGCCGATTCTTTTTTCAGCCTCACAGGCTGGATCTCAGATCGAGAAACTCAGTGGAATTCAGCTCTCCACCTTCGAAAGTGCACTGCAGCGCTGCAGCGGTGTGCATTGTGCATTGTGGCAAGGTATTTCTGGGACCGTATTTCCGGCAAGACGCAGTGGCAACATCCAGGTTGCGAATTGGCCCTGACCATGACGTCTTAAGCTCTAGCTGAATCCCCTGGAGCAAGAAAAGGATCTCCCGGTGCGAAGTGGGCTCAGTCCGAACCCGAACCCGAACCCCATCCTGTGAGGTGCGAACTCGAACTCCCAGAGGCGGAAAGCAAGAGCTCTGCCTCTTTGTCTCTTCGGGCTCTGGGAGCAGATTCGCTCGGAGGCCTTTGCAAGGCTCAAGGCGGCGCAGATCGAAGACCTCGCAAACGCCGTCGGCGGCCAGCGCTCGGAGGCAGGGAAGGAGTTGGATGCGATGCGGAACCCCCTCCTTTTCTCCTTCAGGCATGCCTGCAGTACCAGGCGTGGACGGCGCCGGCCGCGTCTTTCGGTTTTCAACTCCCAAGCCGTTGCAGATCGACTCGGGGGTGGCTGCATCCATGGCTTCGGTTATTACGCCCAACACTCAGAAGATGTGTCTGGAACAAGACATTCCCCTAGCCATGGAATTGCTTCTCCTTGGACCGTGTGATCTTGGCGCCTTCAGTGCAACCCCCCACACCGCAGTTCGTGGGTCATGAATGTCATGAGCAGCAGCAGCAGTCATGGGATGCAGGCGCATGCCCCGCTGATGCCTGAGTCCACGTCCCGTCTCTGCGCAGCGCATGAACCACTCGATCCACACACTCCTTGGAACGGAAACGTCCAATAAAGAAAGGGACCAGAACGTCCAGCACACAGCTGAGGCACAGCACAGACGATAGCACACCAACTATGAAGGCTATACAGCCTATGCAGACCGAAGCCCGATCCTTGCCGAAAGAAAGCACTATGTACGCAGAAAAGCACGCTGTATGGAGAGCTCAACACCAACCTCAGTGGGACTGGAAGTACGAGCTCAGTACATTGAAGGTAAGCACATGTATCATAGCTGAAGCTTCCCAAGCTCCACCGTAGATGCTTGGATTAACTCCTGATTAGCAGGCCCACGATGCGACGACCTGCGTCAGCATGAGCCGCAGCCACCGCAAAGTGAAGAACCCATACACCATGCTGCCTGACGGCTCCACCATGACCACCGAACCCGACCCCCGATCCAAAGCCGTCGCCATCTTTTGGACACGAAGCGCCGATCATGGCGACCCCTCACACAACGAGGCCACTTGGTGGCAACTCCCGGGCAGTTTCCAACACTGAAATCGTGGAGTTACAGCTTGAGTCACGGCCTGGGGACGAGCAGACTGTGGTCTTCTTGGTGCCCTCGATTTGTAGACGGTCTACAGCTGCTTGTCACGAATCGCACACGTAATCAAAACCGACCGCTGGTGCAGCCCAATGCACCGGCTACCGAATGACTTGAATCCGTCACGACCCTGTCGGCACCGCAGTATTTGCTTGCTCATTACTGACTTGTTTTGTTGCCTGCTGCCCTCAAGCTTCGCTGCCGACGGAAGAAGTTGCGCCTGTGGCAACGCAAAAGTGTCGCAAAGCGATGTTGGCCGGGCGAGGTGCTCGGTGATGATCGCACGGCAAGAGCCCAGGTGCGCTGTGTTGCCTTTTGTCCTCCCAGTTTCTGCTTTTCGCGATGAATTTGAAGGGCGGCGGCGCACCTTTGGCAGGTGGATTGGCAGGCTGGAACTGCAGTTGCCGCTGATAGCTCGTGATAGTGGCTGATGCAGGTGCTTGCAAAGGAGCTGCAGCCTTCGGAGGACCGGGGTCTCGAGCAGAGTCTGAGATCGAACGCGCCAGTGCAGAATGCACTGCCGGCTTGTCGTACTTCGCCCTTGTCGTCATTCCCCAATGCACCCCCATTTCCTACAAGGATTTCGCTTATGACCGCGGTGTCCAGAGAGGGTGAAAGCTGCACGAGGTTAGAATCGAAATCAACCCAAACCCACCCACCCACTGACAGGCGAGGGATTTTCGGGTTTGGGTGCATCCTTTTCTTTGCTGTGCCTGAGGGTGGATTTGGTTCGCCGCTCCTTCATGCTGACAGCCACGACGGTCGCGACTCTTAACCATGCATCTTTGCGAAGTTTTCGTAGTTGTTAGAAGTCGCCGTGATGTCATGCCAGAGCAGTGCATTACTGTCTTGCCTCCATCTCAGTCTTGACAGAAGATTCTCGATCGTTTTTCCTTCCAAGAACTCCTACGACCTCAGGCCTTCTTTATTTGGACATCCGAGCTATCAAAGTTTTCTTTCGGACTGTAGGAGCCTTTGCTTCCGAATCATGGGCTGTGAACGTGTTATTTTTCTGCCGTGCTTTCTTCGTGCCTCGACGCAGATATTCGGACAACCAGGAAGTGTAATTTAGCCTATGATTTTTTACATGGTCTTTCTATCCCAAAGCACCCCCAGTATCTCCTGACGCAAATCCGCATCCTGATCGATCACCTCCTACCGCATACCCAGATTGCACTGATTAAGGTTAAGGGCCACGCTGGCCATGAAGGTAACGAGCGCGCTGACAGACTGGCTAAGGCGGGCGTTACTTCCTCCTCCAATCTTGGTAGACACTCCCACCCGGTGCGGGCACCACTGGGAGAAACCATACGGATGAATGCGCCTACTAATTTTGAGACTCTGTCCCTGGAAGAACAGGCCTCCATCTTACAACAAGCTGCCGCGCGCGCGGCTCCTAGAACCAAACAAACCACCTTCTACAAAAAGGAGTACCTATCAGAACCCACCAAGCGCATTATTGACAGGATTGCCCAGACGCCGCCAGATGATCAGGACCTTCTCAAGAAACTTCGTAAAGCGGTCAAACGCCGCGCGCGCAAGGACAAAAAACAACACCTCTGTAACAATTTGCTTCAGGACAGCAAGGGCCCCCCCTCACAACAATGGTCCACATTCAAACACCTTAGAAAGGATTATGTCCCACGTACCCAGGGCATACGCAAACCTAACGGACACAT